TATCACAGTATGTGTGCATTAGATTATATACAAGAAGTACATTGATACAATATTTATATATGCACAGTGCAATGTATACACTGAGTACATAAGCACAGTATGTAGTCACTCCATCTGATGTGAATTGTGATTTAAAAAGACATTTGGTTTTCTGATTTGTTGTTAGTAAACAACATTATTCTCACTTAATATTAGCAGTAGCAGTTTTTTTCTTTCTTGTTTCTTTTGTAGAATGAGGGTAATTTGGCAATACTATATGTGAAAGTATCTGCAATGACGAGATTTTTTTCATGATGTGAATGAATGTATAATGAGGTAAAATCATTAGAGGTAGTTTGAGTCATGTCAAAGACATTAACGTATCCTTCCATGAATTCTTCAGTCTTGTTCTGTTTTATATCCATATCTCTTTCCCAGGCTAATCTCTCTCTCTCTCTCTCTCTCTCTCTCTCTCTCTCTCTCTCTCTCTCTCTCTCTCTCTCTCTCTCTCTCTCTCTCTCTCTCTCTCTCTCTCTCTCTCTCTCTCTCTCTCTCTCTCTCTCTCTCTCTCCCTCCCTCCCTCCTCTCCCTCTCTCCCTCCCTCCCCCCTCCCTCCCTCTCTCCCTCCTCTCCCTCCCTCCCTCCTCCCTCCTCCCTCCTCCTCCCCTCCTCCTCCTCTCCCTCCCTCCCTCCTTTCTCCCTCCCTCCCTCCTTTCTCCCTCCCCCTCCCTCCTTTCTCCCTCCCTCCCTCCCTCCTTCTCCCTTCCCTCCCTCCCTCCTCCTTCCTCCCATCTTTTCCTCTTACATTTTTCTCCTTCGTCCCTCCCGTCTTCCATTCCTTCCTCCCACCCTATCTCACTCACTCACTCTTTGTCTCTCCTCACTTGCCCCTTCCCCCTGTGACTTTCCCCCCATCTCCAGCCCTCTTACTCCCCCCCCTGCACCTAGTCTTCTTTCTTCAAATTGCTCATTGCATTTCTTGCTCCTATATGTTTTAAAGAATGCAAGTATGAATGTAAAAAGTATTTTTTTTTTTCTTGGGACCAAGGTGAATCTCCATTTTTATGTTTTGTAGGCTTACATTGCTTTACTCATCTGCTCAATCTCTTAGCCTTAGTTTGTGTTCACTTTTTAAAGAAGTTTTTTGCTGTTGGCATTATTTTCAATGTGTGTTCCTTTCTCAAAGTACTTTCTTCAAGACTAACAAAATCATAGTTTTTAGGCTGAAAAAATGAAGATTAACTTTTCATTTTTTTCTTTCTTTTCAATAGATTTATGTGGTAGCTGTTACTTCATATCTGATTGCTCTCTGAGTGTCACAGTTCAGGACACTGATACTGGAAAAAAGTAATGTTAACTGATTGCTCAGTTTATAAATCCATCTTTTAAGTAGATAACTTATATGAACTTTCATGAGCTATGTGTTTTTCATGTTCATTAATTTATTTTTGTTTTTATTATTCTGGAAACAGAATTGATCTTATGCTGTTCAGTTTACAATTAGCAATTACTTTATATTGAGGTTGCTCCATAGATAGTACCTATGGGCTGTTTTTTGACAGTGAGTAAAAAGCCAAACTAGAGATTCTCACATTCTTTTGCTGTTCGGTATTGGCTTTGATTTATGATTGTTTAAATAGTATTGGTTATTTACGCACTTGGAAAATGCATATGAATTTTTTTGAGTATACCTGGACATGTGGAACACCTCACTAATTTAGATGTAAACACCTTTGTAAGGAAGATAATTTTCAGGAATTAGCCAGTTTAATGGGAAGTGATAGTGAAACATTTGAATCATTTAGAAAACTTTAACCCTCTGATACCAGGATGGCAAAAATACATGCCTTGTCCACTGTGATTTTGTTTTATTAATTGTCTTTATGTGTAAATGGTTCCAAGTGCTTAATCATCAAGGAGTCAGTTACTAGTCATACTTATATCACCTGTCTATCTTTTTTCTAAAATTTTGTGAAGATTATTTGTTTTTATTGATATTGATATTCTTAATAACATCATGATAATCATGATGTCTGTAATAATGACGATGTTGATTTTAATTTTATAAAAAATAAGATGCCCAAAACCCAATGAAAGGGGAAATTAGGTGAGGTTATGTACAGTGATTGGCTTCTTGGTGGCTAAGCACATGTGGAACCAAACAAACAAAATTTACATAAAACTGTCAATGGTACACATAGCCAGCACCAATAGGCCAATGATTGCTATATGGTTGCTTATATATTTGCTTATTGATCAAATGAAAGGCTTGAAAATAAATCTAAAGTAAACATTTTCTTAAAGACAGAGCATTAGGATATGGGCCAAGTAATTTTCTTGAAGGAATAAATGAAATAATAATGACAAGAAAATACATTTTCCCACTTTTACAATCATTTTACTATTATTATTATTATTATTACTATTATCATCTTTATTGAATATAATGATTATTAATTGTTCTGAATTTCTTTCATTGTATTTTTCTAATAATATATTGCCATCCTAATAACTTCTCTTC